GGGGAACTACATTTACAATCCTGTGAGTGTTTAAGTAAGTTCCATTGAGTTCAATATGGCTTACTTGCTTGTGTGATTAGGATCACAACCTAAGGAACTAGCCTTTTCATTTATTTATGTGTAAGTAGAAACACAGCCATCTCTATTAACCTGTTAAAGGTGGAATAAGATTTTAAAATTTTGGTTTACCCCAAAGTAAATGTGCATGGATTGCAGATTTACCTCTGTTGAGTACAGGACTGAAGAAATGCAGGCAATCCAATCCTATCCATGTTTACTTGGAAGTAACTGTGTTTTAACAGGGCTTATACATACATTTGTGTAAATTAGTTTGCACAGGACTATCATACACATACAAGTAAATGTGTGTTGCACTAGCACTGGAGCTCCATGTTCTAAAAGAAAAACTAAAGAAATGTCTTCATCCCCACACTTTATTTATTACAGTTTTAGCAAGGAATCAGAAGGGAGAAATCCATAACTAGTAGAAAATAGCAAATCCTAAATACGGCAGTAACCAACCCTGGCATTTTGGGCTTCTTCTTTTTTTAACTCAAGCTTCCCAAGCTATTCCGGTGATACCTGCAAGCAGTGGGTTTTCCCCTAAAAAATTTTTTAGGGGTACTCTCATTTTCCTACTCATATTGTAATACTGACCCCTCAATGAGACCAAACTTAGATTCACAAAATGTTTAGGGGTATGTGTACCCCTGCGTCCCCCCAGAAAAAAAGCACTGGAGGAAGTAATAAAGTATATCAGGTGCGTGATGTGGATTTAATGCCAAGAGGATGTTAGAACAGGATGCTAGACTAGATAGATTAAGCAGCCTCCAGTCCCTGTTAGAGAAAAAGATGGGCTATGAATGAATGAATGAATGAATGAATGAAACAAAACTGTGAGAATGCTCAGGCACAGTGTAAGACTGCAAAGTAATTATCCAGTTCCTAGGAGTAAGCTCTATTGAATTCAGTGGAGCTTACTTTTGAGTAGACATGTAAAGGCTTGCAGTGTGAGGCTCTATTTACAATAAAGGAATAAAACACTCCATGAGTTTCCTTAACAAAAATGCTGGCTGAGAAACTATTACAATTAAAGAGTTTCAAGTGGATTGGTTACATTTTCCTTCAAAATGTATGTCAGCTTCACCATTCCTTCCTTCCTTCAGTTCAGGTATTTTATTTTCAGTATAAACAGGACTCTGTTTTTGTAGCTGTTTGTATGCAGCAATGCCCTTTTTATGTATTCACATTGGTGTAAACATATATGTTGTCTTCTAAATCCAAAAGCACACACACAAATACCCTAGTGCTTATCTTGCAAATTTGCCCTTATGTTCATTCATGGCAAAGGCTTTTCCAAAAGGGACAGCAGGGGGAGGTCTGATCTCTCCATCACTTTAATGTCCACATTGAAGTGTGGAGGGAAAAGGGAAAAAGTAAATAAGATCAAGGATATTCCCAAGCCTTTCCCAACCAACACTCATGCACCCACCCATCCCAACACATGGGAGGGGTCTTGTTCATTCGCAATACCAGTAAACGGTGTGTGTATCCAATGTAAACAAGATGCTGTAGCTCCCTTGCTGATTGCTGGGCTGCTGTAATAAAAGGGAAGGGAAGGGGAGGGAAGGTGTCAGCAGGAACAACAGGTGGAAAGGAAGAGGAAGAGGCTGAAGGGTTTGAGCACCCTTTCCATCAGCCGACTCTCTCCCCTGAGCAAAAGGAGAAGCGCCTGATGAGCAAGGAGGTGGGGAGCAACGGGTGCAACATATAAGCCTGGGGTGATTTTTGCGGAAGGGGCCTGTGCCCTTGGTGGGGGCCAAATTTGCCAACCCCTAGGCACGCCTCTATGCGGTAGTATATAGTGTAGTGCAACTTTTTTTTTTTTTTTAATAATACTGGGGAAGGTATCCTCAAGCAACATTTACCAGAGTAAATTTTAGCTGCTCTTTTTGCTTACTTTAGCATAAAGAAAGTGAATCCCAGTCAAAATTTATCTGGGGAAAAGCAGGATATGTTAGAGCAGGGGTAGCCAACATTGTGACCTCCAGTTGCTGCTAGATTACAAGTGCAACTCTCACTATCCTGATTTTGCAGGGAGTTCAACATCTGCTTCTGTAGTATGATGAAAATCCAAGCTTTGAAATATTTATTCTGCTCAGGGTGTTTATATCAAAATATATCAGCACTCAAAAAGTTCAGAGGATTTTTAAAATTATTAAATACAACGAGCTGGATCCAGACTAACAGTGTAATTCTATACATGTCCACTCAGAAGTAAGTCCCATTGAGTTCAGTGGGCATTATGAATATCAGATTGTAGCCCAAGTTAATTGAACTCAGGTGCCACTGGAATAAACAACTTGAGTATGGCTACAGTCCTAACCTCACTTACCTGGAAGTAAGCCCTGCTGAATTCAATAGGATTTACCTCTGAGTAGACATGGCTAAGATTGTGCTGATAGTCATGATGATTAGAGTCCAACTGACTTCAGTGCAACTAGATCCAACCCATAGGATCTGTTTTGACAGATCACAGGTAAAGGGTTTGAAAATCTCACCCAGAAGCGACTATCGTATACTTACAACCGCTGGGTTTAAACCCACAAAATACTGCCTATCTACATTCATAATATATTCACTTCTGCCTCTTGGGCCAAACTAGAAAGACCTAAGAAGCATACACTACAAGTGTTGTAGACAAAAAGGAAATTGAAATTATATTTAATGCAAAACATGTGGGCATACAATGCCTTTTTTACTTGAATTAATAAACCTTTAAAGATTCAGCCACAAGAATATGCTCATTGAAACTGATTGACATTGAACAGAAATGCAACACTATGTGTGTCCATTAGGGGGCTAACAGGCACTACACACAGAGGCTACGTACACTGGATTATATATCTAGGTTTAGTAACATTTCCAAGACTTCTGTTGCCAGTCATCATACTAAAGCACTCTCCCTGCCTCCCTTTTCTTTACAAGATACAACTATGGCCAAAATCTTTAAATAAGCACCTAAAACAGAACTTGCTATTTTAGAAATGTTATCAGAGGCACTTCACTGACATCACAAGAGAAATGCACATCCCACCCCGGGGGGGGGGGGACGGATATGCCCAAGAAATTTCGACTTTACTGCTGTGGCTTGTATAAAGAATATTTAATTAAATAAAAATCCATAAAACTGGAAGGAAACAAAAGGAGGAAGGGCTGTGACCACAATAATGATTTTGAATGTATTCTAAGATTTTTGTTTGTTTCTCATTTGTTGGTTCGTTTTTACTTCGGGATGGACGTTATCTACTTCGTTGTGCCAGTTACAAATTTTACTTTATGTATATCATATTTCAAGCTTTTGAGCTATGCTTTTGGGATGCCTTTGCTTTGACAGCTGAAGGAGACTTCAGAGTACAGACTGGTATTTTTTATAGTTTTAAAGAGATAATGAAACTTATATTTAAGCTCCTTCCTATCCTGTATACTTTTTCTTCTTCTTACGATTGTTTTCAGTCGGTTTGTCAAGCAATAAAGTTATTGGAAATATTTGGCAAGAAAGTTAATACCAGAGGCCAGGCCTTCATAGCCTGCGACCATCTTGCCAAATGCAGCCTCCCAGCCAAATACAGTATGATGGTCAGCCAGGTACTCAACAGCTCCCCCTGGTTTGGTTTTGTAGACAGCAAAACCAAGAGGATTATTTAAGCCCTCAGGTATCCAGCAGACATGTCTGTCATAAGTTGTGCAGGCCTTTTAAACAATATACTGAAATGAACAAGAGCAAAGAAGCTCACTAAGACCAGAATAAATATGGTCAACAAAAATTGCATCATTTTTAATATTCTCCCTATTTGTCAGGTGATTAATCCTGAAGCTGTTTTCAAGCAGTGTACTACTGTAGTTTACTAGGCATTCCTTTGCTAACAGTTATCTTCAAGCTTATCAAATTACACTTGCCATCTAAGGAGATGGATTCAATTATTCTCCACTTTAGTATTTCTCATCCAAAACAAGAATAATCAGAAACCAAGAAGCTCAAATTTCACTGTGAATTATGGAAATAGCTGTATAGCTGATTAAGTTCAATTCTAACTCATTTTAATTAACTGGCCAGTGCATTTATATACCATTTGAATACCAGATCATTGTGCTTTAGTGTTGAAAGCAATTTAGAGAAGCATGCCAAAGTCCCACTGAATAATAATATTTTTAAAAGCACAAAATTGCAGCTCAAGTTTCACCAATTTTGAATGGGAGATAAACAGTCCAACTTTCTCTGATCTACACTTGTCTAGAAACCAGCAAGATAAAATGTAAATGTTTCAGTCACAGATGGTGCCCTCAAGCCTAGGTGGTCTAGCTTAGAAATTTAAAAGGTTAGGAATTTGATGTTAAACCAGGTTGAGGACTTGAAGGAAGAGACAATTTTTGCAAGTATAGCTTTCAATTTCTGGCTGAACCCCTAATACACATGCAATGTATTGAAAAGACATGAGGCCTTTTGTCCACACAGAAGTTTACCATGAACTTTGCCACTTGCTTTTGAAACATGTGAGTTTCAGTCCAGCTTCAGGGTTGCTTCAAATGTGATAAAATGCATCATGAGAACCACTTTGTTGTAGCAAAGTTGCATGCAGGATAGGTGTAGATTGTTAATGTGCAAACATATGCACACATTTTGTTGATCTACACAGCTTGAATGCTATATTCATACAGAAATGCTCTCTCCTTTATACATTTTGCCATGTTTGAAGCTGCCCTGAAATAGGACTTGGGGTGACTGATGTATCAGAAGGAGTCCCTCTACATACTTTCCTTTGTATTTATCAGGACCGTGACCACCGTCTCCAATGCAAATCAAAATACGGTAAGTGAAGTTTGTTTTAGCCTTAAGTTTTAAATCTGATTTTGTCATTTTATTAGCCACTGCATCTAATCGTTTACTGGTTAGTTATTAACCTTGTTAGTTATTAACACAAAAAAGTTATGTATGTACCTGTAACTGGCCTGAGAGCAAGTAAGTTAAATATTTCTAGGAAGGAAAAATTACCCATAAAAGTAAGGTTTCTGGCTGAATTATCATACTTCACTATCTTCTGTTCCCATGATGCATTATTTGTTGTACTAAGATTTGTTGTTGCCAAAGTGATAGTCTGAAAACCAGAATTAGCTTAACAGCCTGGCCTGTGAATGAAAGAAACACCCAGACCTACACACTGAATTTTAAATTAGAATAAATTTTCCAGTCAAATTGTCTCATTACTTTTTTTTAATGTCACTCTTTAAAGCATTATTTTAAAAAAAGTTATAGTAACTGATTAGACTTAAGCAAATTCAATAGTTATTTCTCTAGCTGCTCCTTTTACTGATTTTTTTATAGAAAAGCAATTGGCAACAATGAAAAATACATTTAACTACTAGATATTATAATGGTAATGACACTGTTTGATTCCTGTACAAAACAGAACAAAAAAAGTGGGCCATGTTAGCTTTCTTAAACATTAACTTAATAAATGTTTGGGTGTTTTCACATATACAGTTTTATATTACACAGAAACATTTTGTTCAACCAAAAAAAATCTGTAAACAATAAAGTAGCAGACTGGCCACATGACCATTTAATAAATAAATATAGTGTTAGGTAATAGTGAAACAAACACACCTATTGCAGTGAATACCCTTGGCACAACAACTCAAATTCACACCAAGGAAAAAACAATGTGATGTTCATCTGTAGATGTATCACATCCAGCTCTCAGGCCCACTGTTCCATAGTTTTTGCAAAAATCGCACCATTTCTTTTTAAGCCTTCAAAAAATCCTTACAGAAGATCAAAGCCAGTGAGTGACTGGAGGGTCAGGAGAAGTTTTGTCTCCCACAGCATTTAAATGGTTCACTCAAGTTTAAGTATTATTTGCTATACATGTGTAGATGCACAGCCACGTACAATCACAAAAACAATGTTAACAATCCTGCAGGAATTTTATGACTATTTAAAATTACAAATTTATACCTCTGAGAGCCAACAATGTGGTTGTCCACACTCAGTGGTATTTTCAGTCATTGCCTGAAGGAGTATCAACAATCTCTTTCAATTACAGATCCTCCATTTTTTGAGCATTTGCTGCAAAGTGCATATACTCAAAATGTGTTATGCACATGCACCACACATTCATGCAAGCTGACCAGCAGAAATTTAAATAATTCCCTTGCCTTACATATATGCATTTTAACAATAAATTATTTTTTCCTGTTGTTGAATGCTGACGATGTTAGTAGACATTATTTCTAACTTACAGTATCATCAGGTAAAATAGGTTTTATGGTCATATATGGATATATATATATAAAATTGCCACTTATTTTTTTTAAAAAATGTAAAAAACAATAGAGGGTAGCTAGAGTATATGGAAACAGTGGTGGCATTACAGGGTTATAATATATTCATTCCCATAAGAGTGTATAAAAAGATCAAGGTTCACTTCTGGTTTCACCAGTTATGTAAAACAAGTCTTGCCTTCACTAGTGAGAATAGTAAGACCACTGCTTGCCAACTTCTGTTACTCTCTGCATATAGCTAGAAAGACCAGTATTGTGCCTTTTATCGTTTACTATGGATTTGCTCTTCAAACTCCACGAGTCTAAAGCAGATATTTTGTTTCAGTGCTTCTGTGGGATGAGTGATATTTAACAACAGATGGTGTGATGTGTTCTTTGGCACCTCTGAATCTCATTAAGAAACCAATGTCCTAGCTTTCCTCCTCCTCAGGAAGTATTCTGTTGGCACCAGAGTGCCACTGAGTGCCAGTGTCTACTAGCGCTGAAGAGTGGGATGAAACTGTACAATATGACTAGAAAAATATACCAAGGGGCAATAATTATTTTGTTTGTGTCTACAATTGTCTTTTCTCAGATCAGTTGCACAAAGTTTGGTCCACTTCTGCAGTTAACAATCTAGTCATCTTAAGAGCTTTGGTTATAGCACAAATGTTTTGGTAGAAGTAAAGAACAATACATTCTCTTGTCTTCGTTTTCTTCAGGTGGATTTTTCATTGTCCTCTCCCGTTTTCTGAACTCGGGAATACTTTTTGCATGAAGACTTGAAACAGCTAGGGGGCCAAGATATTGGCCATGAGAAACAGCAAGGCACGGAGCCCTGTATATTCTTTTCAAAGAAATTGAATATTGGAAACCACCATGCTCGAGAGAGAAAGTTTGTCTGTGATGAGATTTTCAAGTTCTGCATTAAGAGGGGGGAGAAAAATATATTAAGATCCTGCTGAGACTGCTTTAAAAAGAGACATATTTAAACCACTGGAATAATTCTTATTTTTTCCTTAGAAAGAAAGCACTTCCATGGAGTAAAAAGCATATAAAATATAGGTATAATTCAGATAGGACAATCAGTTTCTCTCTGTCCTTCAGCTCCATATTGGTTTTCGTGCTGGAATTTTGTGATAACTGACGCCATTTGAAACAGAGGACAGTAAAGTAAAACCAGGCAAAGCAGTATTATTTATTAACTCCTCGTATTACTCCAAGGAGCTCAGAGACATACACGTGGGATTCCTAGACTCCCATGAAGGTAATAAGGCAGCTCAAACCTGCTTAACCTCATATAGAAATTTTCTTTTGGTCATTTTTTGTGCTACTTACAGCAAATGGCTTTATTTGTTTTCCAGACTTACTACAATATTTTTGACCAGCATTCCATTCACGTAGTGAAAATGCCTCTCCACTTACAGTTAACTGGTTCACAATTAAGTAAAGGAAGTTCCAGTAATTTAAAAAGGCATTCATTTAAACTGTACCAGATTTGTGATAGACTTTTTTTTTTAAAGCTTCACGTGTATAGTGTAGTTAAGGTACTGGATATGATTTACCAAAACACAGTTGCAACAAATGTGTGTAGTTAGATGTTTATGGTGGGATTCCTGTGCACATTTACTTGAAATGATAACTGATTGAAAAGGCAGGTCTTACTCCTCAGTGTGGGACTGGGATGTTAGTGCCTTAAATTCAAATAAACTTCACCATGACTAACTTTTTTTCTGGATTATACCAATATTTACTTAGATGTTGACCCATGAGATTTCCAGGGGGAAAGTAAAAATGCCTTTAAAAAGCCCAGCATAATTCAGCAATCTCATTTTAACATAATACATTTTGTAAAGCAGTACTATATATCTCAAGTACCTAACATTAATTTAGAAGCTGGTATTCCCGTTACTCACCTTTTCATTAGCCATTGAGTGATACCACCAGAAGAGCCTTGTGGTGATATAATAAGCAATGACAACATCTATAGTATAATGTTCATGTCCTACTAGGATGCAGATTATTCCAGCAACACTCAAACACCAGCAGATCAAGTGATACCACCAAAAGTGACGAGGTGAATCTGCCCAAGAAGGAAAGCATGTTAAAGAGGTTTCATATGAGAATTGTATCTAGAGCAGCAAAACAGATTAATATGAATTTGAACTAATTTGTGAATGCAAATGCATGGATATGCACATGCACACACAGAGACATAAACTAAAATATTATATTCAGTTCACAGGAACAGATTGCCATATAATTTGATCCCATAGTGTAAATTTAACAGGAGATAAATATATGAATGCTGGCTAATCAGCTGATTTGCTCAATTTGCACTATGCTGCTGGCTGGGTATGTATACAATACACATCTGACTAATGCTCCTAGGGGATATAGCAGAATACACAACTGCCATGCAGAAGGTCTTGGGCTTAATCCTTGTGTTATTCAATTAAAAGAATTTTCCATCAAGGAAAAAACCTCTGCCTGAGACTTTGGAGAGCTACTGCCCTTGGTGTAAATAGCACTGGACTAGATGGACCAATGGCAGTCTCCTATGTTCAAGGCCAATTGTATAATCTGCACCACCAACATTGCTTTATAAAGATGGGTTAGCAATATGGGCTCCAATCTGGCACCCAAAGAGTACCACCTAGCTCAACAATGATCAGATTTACTACCTGTTCCCCATATTCTTCCAACTTGCTGCAAGCCTCTTGTCACTCGTCTTTGCTATCTGACACTATGAGGAAGGAACATACTGGCAGGTAATGGAAGGAGTGTTACAGAACCATCACTACCATAATCCTTCATATAAAACTTCCTTATCTTTCTTTTTCAACCCATGGCCACTTTTTACATGGTAGCACACTAATCATAATTATATTTCAGGAAGGAAAGAAGATAGAGAAATTAGATCAGAGAATCATTCATTTCCTTTGTGTTTTTTGAAGAATAACAGCACCAGTACCTACTTCAAATAAATTTAATCCAATTTATGTAATTAACTAAAAATACAAACAAACCAGTGCACTACTGCATTTTATTGCTCATTCCAAAAATAAATGTCAAAATGGAGGGAAGGAAGCTTGTACAGCCATCTCTGGCCAGGGAGTTAAATATATTGATAAACAGGGATGAGAACACAGGAAGCATCTTTCAGATTGGCAAAATGCCTGTTCAGAAAGATCAGTGGAGCATATTGCACTCAGCTTCAGAATAATGGAGCAGTATTTGCTCTTGCTTCAAACAGCATCCCCCACCCCCATAATCATACAGGAACAAGAAATTAGTAGATAATATCCTGATGTACAGTCCACACCACTTATTTATAAAACCCTGCCAGCAGTATTCTAGGGTTCACAGGACAATCTAGTGAAGAAGAATGGCTGTAATAGCCCCATGTCAGTAATAATTTCCTTCCTTTCCTTTCCTTTCCTTTTCCTTTTTCTTTTTCTGCAAAGGGCATGTGCTAAATGCTAGATAGGTAAACTAAACAACAACATTAAATGGGATGATTAAACATGACCACAGTACATCTGTGACAACATCCTCACATAAAATAGTGCATGAAATGGCTATTTACCAACTACTCATGGAACATTATGTCCACATAATGTTCTCTCACCTCCACTAATGTATTAAAATGTAATATGCATATTACATTACCAGAAACTGTCACATATTCAGGCTTCACAGAACCTACATAGGTATATTCATGTTAATGGGAACATGCATATGCCAATGAAAGGCATGTTTTCCAGTTTATATGGAACCCAGTTTTTGACATGCTTGTTCTTTGTAGCACCAGCCTTCTAGCAACCAAAATACAGTACTCATGAGTAAGTCTTCTAGAACTACAAATTGGTGTAGTGAAGTGGGTAGAGTTTTGGACAATGACTAGGAAGACCCATCATTGGTTGACATTGGACCACAAACTCTCTATCAGCCTACTTGACCCCATAAGGTTGTTATGAGAATGAAGTGCACAAGGGACCTTCTCTGCAACCCCAAGTTCTCTGAAGGAAGCGTGGCATAAACATGTAAATAAATAAGGGAATATTTATTTTATGAGACCTTGTGGCAAAAAGAAACAACAAGGAAGACAATGCCAAAGAGAAAGACAAGCAATTATTTCTGTCCTACACCAATTTATAGTAACTGAATTAGGCTTGGGAACACAAACATCTTTTCTTTTTTCTAACTGAAGGAACAGTTTGCAACAAGCCATCCAAATTGCCGTATTTTTTGCACCATAACACTCACTTTTTTCCTCTTAGAAAGTAAGGGGAAATGTCTGTGCGTGTTATGGAGGGAATGCCTACGGGTGGCATGCCTATGGATTTTCCTCCTCTAAAAACTACGTGCGTGTTATGGTCGGGTGCGTGTCATAGAGCGAAAAATACGGTAGATTGTGTTTAAAAAACAACCAAAAACTAAGACTATGAGGCCTAGTTTGCACATTAGGATTGCCACACTAAGACCACCTAAAACCATACGAAACATTTAGGAAAATAAGAAAGGCTTTAGGTGTGGAGCAGTTCATCAAGTGAACTGAGTAACAGACAGGAATTCAATGTAGTGCAAAGCAGATTGCTCTTTTATCAATTTGCTCTTTCCTCCACCCACATTCTATTCTAGGAGTTCTCTTCCCTTACCCAAGTCAACTTCAGGGGACACCTGGGGGAAGAAGAGGGGAAACCCCAGTTGTGCCAGTGGAAGTCCTTGCCTGTGGTTTCCTGGTGGCACGCATTAATTCAATCCTGCCCATATTTTCCACTTAAGTACAAACTTTTCCTTGGGATAATTACATTCCCACAGGAAAACCTGGTAAGCTGCTTCACATGACTGATCTACCATGTAAGAGTCACCAAATGGAGCAATTTTAGAAGTATTTCATGCACTGGCCAAAATGTCAGAACTGGCCCAGATTTTCTGCTATTTTCAATGCAAAATCAGAAGCATTTGGTTAGATTGGTGCACATACAGAATACTGAAACTAGTATAAAAATCAGTGGAGTAGTGTTGCTAAGCATTTATGCAAAAAAATAATAATTGAAAAATTGAAACTTACATTCCTTGATAAATAGGTAAGTGAGTGTTAGCACTACAGTGTGACCACTGAACAGGAAATCTCCGCATAAGATGTGTGAGCCTGTTATAGACAGTCCACCGCCGGAAATTAGTTGCAGGATCCGCTGAACCTTGGCTTGAGAATTTCCATTTAGCTAGTTTGTCATAGGGAGAACAAAATAAGAAGAAACACAAGCTGAAGGAGACTGGAAGTGTTTGGTTGGCTAAAGAACTCCAAGCCAACTGATTTGTAAAATAAATATAATTTGCATTTACTAGGTTTACCTTTGGAGCACACTGAAAATGCATTCCAGGCACAGGGAGAGTGGTGACATACATGGTAATGCAGCGGTAAAGGTATAAAGTTCCTATTATAAAGAAGAACCTTCGTCCCACTATTGACCTGAAAAATAATATTAAAGAGAGATTGTTCATGTAGTTATGCTATACATACAACTCCATAAAAACACTATGCCTGCAAAATTCAATATCTTTCCCACTCTTAATCTGTATCCATAGCATAGGATAATGAGTACAACAGGAAAACTGTTACAGCCACATTCTTATTTATTCATTTATAAAAAATACTTTTCTACTGCAATGTCAAAAAATATCAAAGTGGTTTGCAACAATTATATATACGTACACAATAAAAACCAAGCAAAAATTTAAAATCACAAACAAGCTAACTATTGCAGAATATGTTTTCTTAATTGTCCACATAAACCTACCATTATAGAAAAGTTTTCAGCAGATGTTTAAAGGTTAAAATGGAAATTTCCTGCTGAATCTCTATTGGAAGAATGTTCCACAGGACTGAGCCAATGACACCATAAATTTTATAGTAAAGTTTTGGATTTTTCAAGATTTGCAACATTTGACTGTAATATGTCTATCTTATGGACCAATATGCTCCAAAAAGAGCAACTCATACTTGTGGAACTACTAAGACATGCACTTCTCTATTATTTGACCACCCAAGTGTATCTTATGGGATCTGTTATCATTGTCGTATATCACTTTTAAGGTTAGATTCTAGGAAGGTGGCATATACATATTTTTGAGTAAAACAGCTGATGTAGAGCAGTGACAATTCCTGCAAGACTTGATTGCTTATTTCCCATACAACCAACTTTGGGAAGCTGCATAATTCATCATGTTACTAGCTGCTTCCTGTATGTCGCTGTGACCATAGAACTACTCTCTGCATGAAGTGTTTGACACTGATGAACTGGAATATAGATAGTAGCACATATTAAATATCTGTTGTGCTAGTTTTCTTTTAGGTGAATTGAACAATTCTACATGTGTGATCTCAGAAGTATGTCCCATTGAGTTGAACAGGAATTAATCCCAGATAAATTGCTATAGGACTGCATCTTCAATCACATTCAGATTAAATATAAATATGTTGCATCTTTGTTACAAATCCATTTGTTTTAAACATAATTATATAAAGAAGGAAAAACTGATAATCCAAAATGTTAGGCAACACCACTTACCATTTCTATAGCAGCATTATTGCAGACTTGCATGTATCTTTTTTCTAGTATCTCAGTCCTTTCTTTTGCAAGTCCACATGATTAATCATAATTATGATTAATAGGTAAAACTCTGAATTCTCTCAGGGGGTGCCACACTAGATGTGTCCTTAATATGTGTAATGTTCACTACATATCAGTTTTTCCTAAGCTACCTGCATGGTTGAGGAAGCTCAGTTCTCACTGTAAAGGAATCACTCCCCCTTTAAGACTGGAATGGAAGTCCCCTCATACCGTTTTTTTCTAAAATCCCTAGCCATGCCATAAAACAGATTTCTATTCTGATCCCTGTAGGTAAGTGCTTAATTAGTTAAAGACAGACAAGTTACATAACTGCCTGTGTATTTAACTGACATCTAGTTTGGTCTTTAATAATAAGAAGAAAAGAAGCTGTGCAACTTACTTGTATCTGAGAAACAGCCACTGGATTGTCCATAATCCAAACAGTATAATTCCATTTATTTCTGATACAGAAAAAGCCCATTCTACACGATCAATATAATCAAAAAACTTATCTGGCAATGGAGGACTGAGCTCCTTGGGAGGCACCCTCTCATGTACCGCTGTGATAATGACAGTCGTTAGAATTAAGTTGAAGACAGCATACACAAAGGCAATGCCTGTTTTCCACCATTCTAAAGGAAGTTTGTTTCTAGATTCAGCGGGCATAGAAATCTGTATATAGTCTGGATACTTCTTAGTGCCTTTCCGCAAGCCATTGGATAAACCCTTTGGTTTGCTGTTGCTGTTCTTGTTCTCCTCACTGACAGTGAGTGTGGGTCGAGCATAACCATTTGCAGTTTCATTGTTCTGGACTTCCATGTGCTCTTCAAGCTTTGCTGTCTCTATGGTATCCATCAGGCCTAACACGTGCAGCAAAATTAACCAATTCTTGTCTGATTTCTAATATTATCTCCTGCTTCCTTTAAAGTCTGCCTCCCGTAATTCCAGCCAATCTTGGTCCTTTAATAAGCATGTAGAAACTGGAGATTCCAATTTAACTTTCAATTAAGGCTTCAGTTTTCCAGAAAGAGTCTCACAAGCTTTTCCTCCAGGGACCATCAATACATTCTCTGCAATTAAAGTAGACAAAGATGTAAAATTTGCAAAAATTGTCACAGTTACCTCTGCATGTATGTTGGACAGCACAGGTGGCGACCATTTCTAATGTCCAGTAGAGCTTTCCTGGGAGATGGCTGGACATTCGATTTGAGCTCTTAATAGTTGCTTTCAGTACCTAGCAATTCTAAAATGCAAGTTGCTGGACATCAAGCTTATCCAGAAGTCACAACTTCAATACAATAAGGTCCTTCCTTTTTTTCAGAGTTCTACAAGCTTGTGATTTATTATGTAGAATGTAGCCTGCCAGTAACCTTACAAAAACCACACACAAAATTTATTATCCAATCACAGGTAAACACATCTCTAAAACATAGACCCATTTGAGCGCTAGGGGGCAGTTAGATAGTTGGTAGGCTGCATTTGACTTCATAGTTGTGCCAAACTACTGTAATTTCATAAATACTGTATGGGAATAAGTTGTGGCTATTCAGCAATGCCAGATAGTTACACGGTGTACACTCCTTTTGATTCTCTTTACTATTTCAATTTTCCAGTCTGAGCCCTGCCCCAGGGAGGAGAAGATGCCTTTTGGTACGTGAAAGTCTAATCCACTGGTTCAAGGCATCTCCATGTGCTGCAAGTCACTTAATTCATGAGTAATATCAGATACAGATAGGGCAGATAAGTTTGATGGGACAGATAAGACTTCAGCTTTTAAAGTATGCCCATTTACAAAGGGGAACAGAATGTCCTTAAGAATGAGGAAAATACATTTCTCTCCCTATGTCTTATTCTGCTCTTAAATGTCCAACCATTTCCCTTTTAACATGCTTGCCCTTAGATACAGCTGCAAAGTTCTTTTTGATCTTTGCTTTCTCTCTCCCCTATCCATTATGCAAGCCAAGCCTGACACTATCCTTTTGATCTCTAGAAGCAGCACCAAATAATCTGTAGCCATTAGAAACCAAGTAATTTGTATGCTCCAAACACTGAAAGCAGTTGGGTCAAGATCACCAGGAACAATACACAACCAAGTAAGCAGTCAAAGGAATGAGTCCTGAACATTCTAGTCACTGAAGTTTATTTGTTCTGGCTCACCTTTGTTTTCACAACAGTGTAAACAAAAGAATCTGTCAATACAATATCACTCCTTTAGAAATAATGCAGTCACTACAATAATGTAAATCCAAATGAAGTTAAAAATAAAATGAAAATGAAAATCATTCAAAACACAAAGTGCAATTTTGAATGAGCAAACAGGCAGACATTGGCTTCTAATGTTCTAAAACCTTAACGTATGATGACTATATTTTTATGGACGGTAAGCAAAATCTAAGTTTTCTATTTACGTGGTGCTGTAAACTATGGTTATACTAGCATTGGTTGGTCAAGTCATTGCCACAAGAGAGGCTGAAGTGTGCTTTGAAAGTTAAGGCAATATATAATTCTATGCCCTTCGGAACCAAAAGATATCGTGGAACATTTTCCTATGGTCAGTATTAAGGGCAACAAAGGAATATCATGGGAAGGAAGGGAATGCAAGAATTTGTTGAGGCAGGTCACACTATAGCCAACAGACATGGGAGAGTCCTAGAAATAACAGCTGATACCTAGGTTCAAACTGAGTAATAGTTGAGCATTGGGGTAATCCCTTGTTTCGGACGGAGGGGAGGTTGTAGTCCTCGCCTGCCCCTCCAAACGCTGGGGTATCCTGTTAAAGGGATTGGGGGGGAGTGGCCATGTCCACCCTATTCGATGTAAGTCTTAGGAACCCCCATAGGCGCCGACTCCATGGGGCCTGAGGGGGCCCGAGCCCCCTCAAAAATTTTATTGGGGGGGCTCTGCCCCCCCAATAATTTAAAAAACTTATTAGTTATATTCAGTGGCGCCCGGCAGAGCAGCCCTCTCGGCCACGGCAGCCCGGCTCTCCCAGCCCCCGGGGGCCGCCCTCCTCCCTCGCGCACCCGCAGCGTTCCCGCCCGGGGAGGCGGCGCCCCAGGAGAGGCGGCGGCGGCAGCAGCAGCCGCGCGCAGCCCGGGCTCCCCTCGCCAGCCGCGGGAGCCAAGGCGCGCAACGAGGGCAGCCGAGGAAAGGAGCGCGCGGCCCCGTCCCGCCCTCGCCACTCACCCTTCTGCAGCGGGGAACTTAGAAAACTTCCCGGGGCAGGACCCCGGTATGGGCCCCCCCAATATTTTTTACAAGTCGGCGCCCCTGGGAACCCCCACCTGGATTGACCACACATCGCTTCCAGCGGGCGGGCCAGAAGTATTTAGATTGCCCCATGCCCAAGCCAAACCTCTTTCATCTGTATTCAATAAAGTTGTGACCTGTTTTTACCCAAAACCCAGTTTTATTGGTTTCTTATTTATATGGGTTGGGGTATAGGAAGTCCGATGCCTTGTTCTGCAACAGGATCAAGTATTACAGATTACCCTGAACTAGCAAGGAGGATGCCTACACATTGTTTTAGGAAACGGGTTTAGAAAATACATACATATGTCTTTGAATGCAAAGAATTAAGCGTGCCTTCAATTTTAAACCAGAAAAAAGAGAGAAAGATAAACTAATTATTAGGTGTTTGAGAAATACTGCTTTAGATTGCAATAATTTGTGTGAAATATGTTTGCCTTCCAAGTAGCAGCTTAATCACCTCCCCCCCGGCACCTCATCTGAAAGAAACAAGTATGTTCATGTGTATAACCTGTAACCTTGAGAAAGAGTGATACAGGATACCAAGTCCACATAAAAGATGTGAATTGGGAGAAAGTCTACTATATTGATTGTGCATTATTATTTATTTAAAGAAAACTGGCTCCTGCTTCTCCTTCCAGAATTCAAGTTTATTAGAACTGCTCCTTGTCACTAGTTCTCCCTGCTCACTAAACCCTGTTGCCCCTTCAGCAAACTCCGCTGCCTTATGAGATATCTTTGGGAGGAAAAAAAACTAAGAACCCCACACAAATGCGGAGCTGAGTCCCTAAAACAGTAGGAACTAGTGTGTCTCTGCACTCCTTTTTGCCTCACCTTTTTCTCTGATAGCAAACAAAACAAAATCAAAAATCAAAATCAAACACAACAGAATTTCCCATGACATTTGAATGAGGAGACTGATGTCAGGGATCCATACAAACCAGAATATCAAAGCAAGGAATGCCTACTATTAAAACTCAAATTCAGTTCAGTTTAAGCTGTTTTCAAAATGAGAAGATAAACTTCACTGCTTCAGTAAATGAACATATACTGAAAGGAGATACCGTAGTTTTATGTCCAGTAGTGCTTCTCTTTGGATATCTTATCCCTGTTGTTGTGATATTTAATAATGCATTCTACATGCTTCATAACTCTGCAGCACAACCTGCGGTTTTCCCAATATCATAGCTTAAAGTCATCATTAATTGGATTTGTTACATCCCTGTGTTGTACTGTACAAAATGATTTTACCAGGTTTTTTATATCCACTGGCTAGTGTACAAAACTGGCAATGTCTTTTAAGATACTCAGTCATAAAGAACCAGAATACAATTGCATTATGCTTTTGCTTTGGCCATAGGCTATTTCAGGCCAAAAGGCTGATCTCCAAGTATAGCTTTCAAGACACAGGAAAGAACCATCAAATCAAGGCAGACAGCAAGCTTTTCTCAAATCAAGCACTTTACTTTGCAATATCATTTATAAACATTAGGCATAAAGCTCATTAGACAAATGATTGCTTCTTTTAGGAGCAAGAGCAAAACACAGTGACCCATTATCACCATAGTTTCAAGCACTGCATTATAAACACAATACATTATAAGCAAAGCATGTTGAGGATGAAGGATGAAGCAAGTTGGGATGTAGAGTCAACTCTTAGCTTGTGCACTGGAATAGAGAAGAAGTCAGAGTTCAGGGTGGGGATGAACTCAATAATTATCATACTTGGTAAAAATAACTGTCCATCTGGGTTGGACTAGATCAGTGGTTCTCAACCTTTTTTTGGCCATGCCCCACCTAAGCATCTCTAAAATCCTGATGCCCCCCGCCCAATGATATATAATTCTTATTATTCAAAAGTGAACTCCTATTCACGTGGAGGAAGCCTAAAAGGCCATTAACTTAGTCTAAACAAGCTCGAATTGCCCTCCTGTAGGGCATGTGCCCCATGCTGGGAACCATGGGACTAGATCCTTGTGGTACCTTCCAAATTATGGAATTCTGTGATTCTATGATAAAGTATTCTCCAAAACCATTTGGGGCCCCAAGTGGATTGGAATTATTGGATTATCCCCATATCAGGTAAACCTGAATTTACAGAGACTGGTGTTGTTTGAGGGTAATGTGATGTGGACTATGCAAATTAAATGGGAATGCAAACAGCTGCAAACACACAGTAAAGTTTGATGTGGACAAGCCCAAGGTTTAGTCATAGGCATTAAAAGAGAGAGAGTGAGTAATATGCACTTTCCTTTACCCAGCTAAAAAGTGTGAGTCAACAGTCAGCAAAAGGAAAAGTGTAATTAGTCACATGCCCCACCAAGAAGAAGTGGCTCAGCTATATTTAGGATGTGTCATTTATATTTATTATCACCATGAGAGGTTGTCAAGTGACATAGGAATCTGGAATATTTGTGTATTAATTATATAAGAGTTGATACCTAACTGTAATTTGTTCCTAAATGAGGCAAGATGTTACCACAGAATACACAGCAACTAAAACATGGAAATAAAGAAATACAGTTACATTTTTAAGTTAAGAAGCTTTACTATGGTTTTACTGTAGTCTCTCTTTCCATTTCTTGAAAATATAGACTCCTTGTCCATAGTGAAAAGTTTTAGCATTGGTACATAAATATAAAGGGATGGCAAGAACAACTCGAGTAGTTAAAAATTAAATCCAAA